CGTCGCGCTTCGAGGCTCCGGGGACGGGTTCTCCTCGGGCTCCGGGGAGTCCTGCAAGGACACGCGCCGCAGGGGTCAGGGGATAGTCAGCCCAGCCTGGGAGCGCGCCTGGTGTTAGAGCTTGCTGGAATTCTGAGGGGAGGGACCCAGTTTCCCTCTGCACGCCCACCTCCTGGAAGGCTGCAGGCAGGTCTGGTTTTCCTGGCGATATGCCACACTGAGCATGGGGCCTCCTAGCACGTAATAGGTGTTCAGTAAATGTTGAAATGCGATGATTTGAGTGCTTTTCCCCTTTACTGTCCTCTTTCTACCCATCGTGGACAACCTGGGACAGAGTTAGTTGTGGAATACTGGGGAAATCACCAGAACTGGTGTCCAAAGACCTAGGTTTGAAACCTAGATCTGCCACTCATTGACTTGTTTAATCCTGAGCAAGTCATTTAATCTCACAGCCTTGTTTTTTCTAATCTCTAAAATGTGCATGACACAAATATTTCACAGGGTTATTCTGAGTACTGTAAAGCAGGGGTCCCCACCCCCAGGCCGAGGACTGGTACTGGTCTCTGGCCTGTTAGGAACAGAACGGCAGAGCAGGAGGTGAGCGGTAGGCCAGAGAGCAAAGCTTCATATGTATTTACAGCCACTCCCCATGGCTTGTGTTATCGCCTGAGCTCCGCCTCCTCTCAGATTAGTGGCTGCGTTCAATTCTCATAGGAGCACAAACGTTATTGTGAATTGCGCATGCGAGGGATCTAGGTTGCGCGCTCCTTATGAGAATCCAATGCTGATGATCTGAGGTGGAACAGTTTCATCCTGAAACCACCCCCACCACCATCCATGGAAAAGTTTTCTTCCATGAAGCCAGTTCCTGGTGCCAAAAAGGTTGGGGACTGCTGCTATAAAGGGATAGGAATATAGTATGGCTCCCTAGAACCAGGCATGTGGGAGGGGCTCACTGCATGTTTCTGGGCACCCAGCCCAGAGCTGCTCACCTTGTCCTTCAGGATGTAGAGTGCCATGGGGTTTTTCCGTTCCTGATCACCACTTCGAGGGAGGGTGTCTGCTGCACAGGGGAGAGAAGTGGGTGGCTGGCCCAGGTACAGACTCTCCCCACCAGCCGGCACCTACTCTCTGTGCTTCCCAAATGGCCCGCCACAACCTCCAACAACATATCTGAATATCCTGGCTCCTACCTTGGCCAAACCTCTCCCTCCTCTGCAGTCTTCGTGCAGTTGGTGGGGGAAGGGTCCCTGCAGAGCTGTTTTCCTTGTCGCCCAGTTCTGCCTTTTCCCAGCAGCCCACTGATCTGAGTGTTGATGGGATGGGTGAATGGGTGGCTGGGAGCTCACCTTCTGGTTTCAGGCGGTCATCATTCTGATCCATGTATTCCAGGGAGTTTTGCTTCTCTAGCTTCTTCTGTTTCCTGTGAATCAATCCAGCCCCACCATGAGCCGAGCTATTGAACATGAGCAGAAGATCTAGCGGGGACACAGGGAGGGATCTGATGGCCATAAAAGAGGCCTTGTGACAGGAAGATGGGCTGGGTACAGTTCATGAGCTTTGGAATGAATCACATCTAGCTTTGCACCTTGAGTCTGTCACTAGCGTTGTGACTGTGGGCAAGTCATTTAACCAATCCTAGTCTCAGTGTCATTATCTGTTAAACTGCAGATAATCATACTTAAAAGGTAGCCGGCTAATCACAGCCACAGTGCCTGGCCCCAGAAAAGGTGGTTGGCAAGTGAAAAAACTATTGTTACTGGTGCTGTGGTTGTGGGGGCTTGGGAGCACAAGATGCTGTTGCATACACAATGGAAGAATGGACCTCTTGGGAAGAGATGCAGAGCCCTGGGATGAAAGGCATAGGTTTGGGATGGATTGAAGGACTCAGGTGCTCAGGAGAGTTACCCAGACCTTTTGGAAGGTTTCCAGCAGGCACAGACTGTCACCAAGGTCACAAGGAGGAAGATGCCTCCTGTAGACAAGATGATGTAAAGGGAACTTCTTCCTAGGGAGAGAGAGAAGCAGAGAGGCAGGAGGGACTTCAAAGGGGCAAGGTGTGGTAAGCAGAACTTCTGCCATGGAAGCAAGAGAGGGGGAGCCCCAGGCTGCATGCCTTGCTGATGCTGGTGGTGGAGCTTGCACAGAACCCACTGCCCACCTGTTGGTGTCCTCCATGGATAGTTGGCCTATCGCTGTCCCCCTCCTCCCAGTGACATTCTCTGGGATGTCCTCAGTCCCTCATGGTCACCTGCCTCTTGGGGCTTTGAGTCCTAAAGGAAAGCCTGCAGGAAAACTCACTGTATACGGTGATCTTGACAGGCAGGCTGCGGCCCTGGCTGATGGGGTTCTCTACCACGCAGCTGTACAGGTCGTCGTCCTCCATAAGCACGCGGGTGATGGTGAGCACCTTTTGGTCCGGGGACAGGAGCATTCTCGAGTCATTGAGGAGGGGCTTGCCGTCCTTCAGCCAGGTGTAGCTGGGCTTGGTGCCATTCTCGTGTGAGCAGTTCAAGGTGAAGGCCTCGCTGAGTTCCAGCACAGTGGTTGAAGCCACCAACACCTGTGGCCTCGAAATGGGCACTAAGCCACAGGAATGGGGGAGCCTGTGAGTCATTGGCTAAGAAGTGTCTCCCTTCCCCTTTTTAGCTCCTTGCCTTCGAACACACCTTTAACACTACCTTCCAACTCAATCTGTGGGCTGAGAAGACTTCAGACATCCTAAGTCCAGTCCTTTCCCATCACTTATTCATTTGTTTCACTGATTATTTATGGAGCACCAACTAGGCATAGCGGGTACAATGCTGAACAATGCAGACATGACGTTGCCCTCATTCCCTCTTTCTAAATGCCTTCCCATGAACCCTGGGCTTTTATGTCTTAAACTGACCCAGCCAGGAAGATATTTTAGTTGGGCTAAGCCTGGGTCCTACTGTTTAGGTTCAAATCTTGGCTCTATCACTTCTAGCTGTGTGACCTTGGGCAAGTTATTCTACCTTTCAGTGGCTCACTTTCCTCATCTGCAAAATGGGGATGATGATATTAACTATCCCCAGATTATTATAAGCATTAAGTGAGTCAACATATGCAAAGCACTTAGAATAGTTTCTGGCACATGGCAATCACTCTACATGTTAGCTGTGCTGTGCCTGTCTGCCAACTTCTAACGTCCACTTGCCTCATTCTCAGCTCCCAAGTGCCTTTTGGGTTGGTTTTCCCTTGGTCTAGCTGGTGCGCTGGGCAGACCCTTCCCCAGTCCCACCTGCCAGTCTTGCCTCTTTCCCTGCCAGAGCACTTTACCATCTACAGTAAGGTTGATGGTCTTTTCCCCAGTGAAGGTGTCGTCGGTGATGGAGATCTCAACCTCATAGGTGCCCTCATCAGCCAGCTGCAGGTCGCTGAGAAGCAGGGAGCCATTTTCAAAGAGCCGGATACGATCTCGATAGTCAGGCCGCAGGGTGCCGATGACCTCCGTGCCAATGGACTGCACCACGGTCACTGGCTTGTCCCGCTTCAGCTGCCACTTCACTACAGGCCTGTCGCTGCTGGTACTGCTGTACTGCACAGAAAGCAGAGCCGACTTCCCCACGGTGCCGTGGATCAGACGCACAGGGCTGGTGATGTTCACCCCCTCCAGGGGGTCTGTGAACAGAGGCCCATGAGGAAGAGGGAAGCGTCAGACCCTGGGCTCCTTAGCCCACTCCCAACTTTAAGTCTTCTGATCTCCCAAAGCCTCGCCCTCTGGCTCTTCACTCCCTGCCAATCCTGGCTTCTTAAGCCTGGGTGCTATCTCCTCCCCCATAGTAGCTCTGTGCACTTCTGCCCCTTTGTTCTCTCTCACAGCCATCTCACGGCCTTCAGTCCTTCTTCTACCTGGCCCGTTGCCTCTCTGGCACTTTGTCCATTGCCTTTCTCTTGTGGAAGAGTCTAGCACACCCACACCCTATGAGCTCCATTCGTAAAAATATTGAACATCTCCTATCTGCCAGACACTTTTCTTTGTCTTTAGGATATATCAATGAGCAAAGCCGACAAAAATCCCTACCCGCATGAAGCTTATAAGTCATTAGACCTCTGGGTGAATTTGTCAGATCTTCTCGATTGGGGATTGGGAGGGTGAGGAGATGGAGAAAGCACGGAACACAGATTCACAAAGAAAGGAGTAGGTCATGAGACAGTGCCAGTAAAGGGAAAGCTTAGGGGCCTGAAGACAACTTGACCACTTTCTAGTTATACCAAGAGCCTCCCCTGTCTTTTTTGCAGATGCATGTAGTGTCTTACTAGGCCCACTCAGTGCAGAACAGTCCTGCAACTAGGAAGGTGGTTTTCGGAATTCACCCAAACTCCAGCCCAATCTGTACCCCTAGAAGAGGGATTTGGGATGGGCAGAACAAAGAGCTTAGAATCAGAAAAGCTTCTTCAGGCTGGGCTCTACCTACCTCTTACTGGCTATGTGGATTTGGGTACATAATCATTTTAAGCCTCATTCTTCTCAGTTGTAAAATAAGGATAATAATAACAAGGCTGGGCACGGTGGCTCACGCCTGTAATCATAGCACTTTGGGAGGCCAAGACAGGAAGATCACCTGAGGTCAGGAGTTTGAGACCAGCCTGGCCAACATGGCAAAACCCCGTCTCTACTAAAAATACCAAAAAATTAACTGGCGTTGTGGCACGCGTCTGTAATCCCAGCTACTCGGGAGGCTGAGACACGAGAATCGCTTGAACCCGGGAGGCAGAGGTTGCAGTGAGCTGAGACAGTGCTGCTGCATTCGAGCCTGGGTGACAGAGGACTCCTCCATCTCAGAAAAAACAAAAACAAAAACAAAAAAAACCCAACAGCAACTGCCTTATCAAGTTCACAAGATTGGAAAGTACAATATGCATATTTGTCATTGTCATATAGCAGACAGAACACAAAACTGAGCAGAGTTTAGGGTCCTATTATTGATACGTGACTTAGGAGGGTCCCATCTCCTTGGAGCTCAGATTTCCCATAGATAAAAGGAGTAGTAGGCTGGATGGTCTCATTGGTTTGTTCCAGCCCTGTAATTCTGGGATTTTACCACTTGTCCAATGGATGCCCTATCCAGAGGGCATTTCAGAGACCTCTTAGGAGCTTTGGGACCTGAAAAGACACTGCTATTTGATGTCACCTAGCCTTGCAGAGCAATCCTACCACCCGAAGGAGGGTCTTCTGGAGAGGACGCCAGTTGGGAGCTGAGCTGAGTTTAGCTGAACAGGCACATACATGCCAGATTCTCAGTCCCTCTGCACCTGCTGCCACTTCCTTTGGCAGTCATTCCCTCTGAAGCTCCCTCTTGCTTTCTCACCCTTATTTCTCACTCTGCTGCTGCTGCCGTTCAGTGCTGAGGAAACTGAGCTGTACCTTTTCATTCCTCATTTCTCTCCTTGTGCTTAGAGGGCCAGACCAAACCAAGAGGCAATTAAGCTAAAAGGTTGGTGGTGAAGATCAAAGCAAATTTTATTTACTAAACATATTAGATCAATTTTTGGAAAAAGTGCTTTGCTAAGTAGTAAGCTCCTCATCTTTGGAAATGGCCAAGGAAAGCCCAACTGGCTATTTTTACACTTTGCTGGGCCTCAGCTTCCTCCTCTGTACATTGAAGTAGCAGGACCAGAAGATCTCTAGGGACCTTCTTAGCTCTGACTTTTTTTTTTTTTTTTTTTTGAGACAAGGTCTCACTCTGTCACCCAGACTGAAGTGCAGTGGCACGACCTTGGCTTACTGCAACTTCTGCCTCCCAGGATCCAGTGAACCTCCCACCTCAGCCTTCCAAGTAGCTGGGACCACAGGCATGTGCCACTATGCCTGGCTAGTTTTTTTTTTTTTTTTGTATTTTTTGTAGAAACGGGATTTCACCATGTTGCCCAGGTGGCTGGTCTTGAACTCCTGAGCTCAAGCAATCCACCTGTGTTGGCCTCCCAAAGTGCTGGGATTACAGGTGTGGGCCACCACACCTGGCCCTAGCTCTGACATTCTACGATCCGCTACCTGCCAGGAATGTTAGAATGATAAAACCTTAAAAGTAGAAGAAACAGGTTGGACGTGGTGGCACATGCCTGTAATCCTAGCTACTCGGGAGGCTGAGGCAGGAAAATCACTTGAACCCAGGAAGTGGAGGTTGCAGTGAGCTAAGATTGCACCACCGCACTCCAGGCTGGGCGACAGAGCCAGACTCCATCTCAAAAAAAAAATAAATAAATAAAATAAAGCAGAAGAGACAGCTCTACTGATTAAAGCTGAATGTGTGAATATCATATGCTTGCTGTTGAATGAAAATCTTAATTTGGGGCAAGCAAAATGAATAATATAAACTATTTTCAGACTTTTAAAAATTAATGATACTTTTTTCCCACAAAATCTTAAATAAAAACGGACAAATGAAATATGGTTCCATCTCACCTGCTTTGGTAGAAGAGGTGGTGGGGATGAGTCCTGTCCCCCTCAATAACCTAAGGAGCAACTAGGAATCCCTACTGGCTCTGTGCATCAGACTAAAGTCCATTTGACCACAGGATCCATAAGGTTTCTTCCAGTTCTTAATTTTTGTGATTAAGAAATTAGGTCCAAGGCATGGCTTGATTTAGAAAAGCAAACTTTCAGATTTCCCTGAGTAGGCAAATAGGCTTTGGTATGTATAACAAGAGGTGGTCCTGAAAAAAGTCATGAGCTTTATTAAAGGCCACTGGGGTGATGATCAAATAGCTGGGGAATATCTACCTCCTTTCTTGGGACCCAATGTGCAGTAGTATGCTATGTAGGTGAGGGTTACATATGCAGAGGCATCCTGGAGTTTAGTAAATTGGTGTGTAAAAGGAAAATAAATCTTGGGGCTCCAAAATCACTAAGCTAAAGGGAAAAGTCAAGCTGGGAACTGCTTATAGCAAACCTGCCTCCCGTTCTATTCAAAGTCACCCCTCTGCTCACTAAGATAAATGCATATCTGATTGCCTCCTTTGGAAAGACTAATCAAAAAAAGAAACTCAAAATAATGCAACCATTTGTCTCTTATCTGCCTATGACCTGGAAGCCCTCTCCCCACTTAAGAGTTGTCCCACCTTTCCGGACCAAACCAATGTTCGTCTTACATATGTTGATTGATGTCTAATGTCTTCCTAAAAGTTATGAAACCAAACTGTGCTCTGACCACCTTGGGCACATCTCATCAGGACCCCCTGAGGCTGTGTCACAGGCATACGTCCTCAACTTTGGCAAATAAACTTTGTAAATTAACTGAGACCTGTCTCAGATATTCGGGCTTCACAGGTATAATGACCCCAAGCACCAAACTTTGAGGATTCTCATTTCCTTCTTCTAGAGTCTGGACAGTGACAACCTCAAAAACAAGTAGAAGGGATTTCCCCTTTCGCTTCTATCTTCTGTGGCCTCCTGGAGCTTTCCTGGCTTCCACGCTCTCCTGTCCCATCCAAAGTCCTAGGAGCCTTTTCGCTATCTATTTCTCCCTGAGGCCTTTCTGCCCATTTAAAGTAGATTTGTTCTGGATAAGAATATTGGAGGAGTTATGGCCTACAGATTGCCTGAGGCCTTACCCTCCTTTAGATAAGTCCCCTCATCATGCCTGTGAACATGGGCATGTCCGTGGGTCAAAAGGATGTATCACATGTGTTCATAAGTGAATGAAGGAGTCTTTCTTGAAAGCTGACAGAGCAGTTTGCTGAGCAAACACTGTTTCCCAAAAACTGTAGCCAAAATCATGCTCTGTATTAAGTTCAGGGTTCCACAACTTTCAAGGGACACAGAGAACTGGGACAGGAGCCAAAGCATGACACAGAAATGAGGAAATAGCTCACAACTATGGTCCAGAGTGGAAATAAAAGGACTAGGACCGCTCAACCTTGAGAAGCGATTAACTTAATCATTGTCTCCAAGGCATCATAATGTAGAAAGTTTCTGTTCCCACCAGAGGCTGAAGAAAAGGAAATGAGAGCTCAGCAAGTTGTACCTTATCAACCTCAACAATGCAGTACTGGAGTAGGTCGGTGGGCACTCCTCAGGTAGGATTTTGAGCTGCTGTGATGCTGGGGAATGTCAAACTTTAGGGTATAAGAATGCATCTGCAGATAGCCTTGGCTTTTCTTAATAGGGTAGTCCCTTAGAGAAATCACCATCCACTCATTTTTTTTTTTTTTTTTGAGACGGAGTCTCGCTCTGTCGCCCAGGCTGGAGTGCAGTGGCACGATCTCGGCTCACTGCAAGCTCCGCCACCCGGGTTCACGCCATTCTCCTGCCTCAGCCTCCCGAGTAGCTGGGACTACAGGCGCCCACAACCACGCCCGGCTAATTTTTTTTGTATTTTTAGTAAAGACGGGGTTTCACCGTGGTCTCGATCTCCTGACCCTGTGATCCGCCCGCCTCGGCCTCCCAAAGTGCTGGGATTACAGGCGTGAGCCACCGCGCCCGGCCACCACTCATTTTTATGTGTTCCCTTTGCTGAGCCAAAGTTTCCTTTCGCCAGTATTTGTCTTAAATTTACCTTTTAAAAGTGCCAATGTGGGTAGTGCCAAATATGTGTTCTAGGACTTGGTCTATACACACCTTATCCATATTCCTAACACCAAAGGTTGCTGCCATGTCCCTTTTCATCTGAAAAGTTTTT